AACTGATGCAGCTTGGGTGTTTCAAATAATGTATCACACATCTATTTTGAGCTTACAGTACCTAAGTTATTTGCTTTTCTATTTGGGTATGCAAAATATGTGAGAATTTCCCAAAATGAGGTGGATATAAAGAGGTTAAAGAAGCAAATTAAGTTTTCACTGCTTTGGATTAACAAAAAAGATAACAGCAGCTGCTTATTTTTTTGTCTCCTATTTTCCTCTAGTTAACGTTTAGAACCAGTTTTAGCCTCAATAGCTTCAAATCTTTTAAAGTTATCTAGTGATTTCCTAATCCAGCTAAAAACCTTGTAAAGCCAGCTTTATGCTCCAATATATAGACCTATAAGTCAAACCTAAGAGCCTGTCTCCTTGAAAGGTTTATATCTTTTTTTTTCATTTTCTCATTTAGACTTAAGGGTATAATGTATTCAACAATAACATAAATCTAATTGGTTAAGTTAAGGTTTCCAAAGTGCTATATATATTAAAAGTATATAGTTGTATATAGTTATGTAAAAGTATATAGTTATATATAGCTATATATATTAAAAGTATATAGTTGTTACTCTTCATTTGTGTCTGTACGATCAGATGTACACCAGACTCAAATTTCCTCTCATAGGCTCTGTGTTCCCATATTTTAAAAGTTAATAGAAATATTCCACTCTTTGTATTAAAATGAGATCAAGGATATGATGAAGAGAATATACCTCTGTATATTTAACAAGGAAGAATAGAGAGACTGAATTAGAGCTGCAGGTAATATTTCACTGATTAATTTTTTCTCAGGCATGACGACTTTATCCATATTAAGTTCTAAGCCTATGTAAAAAATGTTAAGGGATTACTTAAGCACTAAAGGCATATTAGACAAACACACCTACAGTAATAATAATAATAAAAAAGAAATCAGATTTTCTTGGGTTAAAATTACATATAACTAATTTTGAGTTCATGATACAAATAGCATCCATGCTTCAGATAAAAGTTGCTTGTTTGTTTTAGTAATGATCACTTTATTTCAATTGTGTAATTCCACTATTTAGCTGCAAAATCCAATCAAGAGCAAAGGCAGTCTCTAGTGATCAGCTTTCTCATTGTGCTCTGACCTATGCATAATAACAATTTACTGTTAAGTCCAAATGCATCAGTTGAAGCAACACCTTAAACACTGACTTCTCTACAATAAAAATCAATATTTCATTAAATGCTCCAGAATCTGAGCAAAGGTGGTTGAAATGTTTAGAAATAAGGTGCTGACCTTAATTATGCATCCTTTAATGAATTCTGGATATTCAACAAGATACTTAGTTCATCACCTGTGAATATCGATAAGAGTGCAAATTCATTTTGCCAGACCTTTTCCAACGTATTTCATCTCTACAAGCTTAAATCATTCAGCTTTAAAGAAGTAAACTTCAACTGATAATATGATATAATAATTTAACTTAGGTTTTACCCATCTGTTTTCTAGAAGAGCATCTTTATATCTTGCAGAAAATCTATTCTTGTCACATAAAAGTAAAGCAGTGACTTTAGAAAAATTGGCGGGTGTCCTATGAATTCATTCTGCCTTTTAATAATGGTTGAACAATAAATTCAGCTAGCAGAATCATTGTGTCTGATAGCATGATTCCACAAATTAGACCAAATATGACCATTTACGTAGCCTCATATGTCCAGTTATTTTTGACACATTTATGAGATGTGTTTGAATAATCAGTATCTTAAATAATCCTTTACAGCTCCTGTCATAATAAGTTGAAGTTGATTACCTATGTTGTTATTTCCTGTTCTTAATATTGTTTTAACACACATTTTGAATGAGCAAAAAAGCCACTGAACATTCATTAGCTTGTATAGCATATTGAAATCAAATTCCTTAATCCAAAAAGATAAATTCATATAGGACACATTTCATTGGTCCTTAATTGCCAATTCCAAAATAAATATACTTAACTTAAAGGGAACAGATTAGTATAGGATATTTTTTATGTGATTGCAGGGTATAAAGTGACAAAAGACAGTCCTATCTAGAGGGTAATTAAGTTAAAACTATATTTATGAGTACAATATGTATATTTTTTGTCTTAGTTTAAGAGGAACTGGCTACAGTATGTAGTTGTCATTCAGACAGAGTCAGCTAATCAACATTATCTGCCAGACAGTCTGAGGACATTCGGCAACATGAGCCCTGAGGAAGCCTGTTTTATCTAAAAGTCATTTATCTTGCAGCATTTTGGGTAACCAGTGAGGAAAAAAAACTGTGATAGCCTGACAGACAAAATATGAATGATATATAGCCACACTAAGAATAGAGAAAGGGGCTGACTGTTAGTGAAGCTAAATTAAAGAAGTATGTGTTGCAGTTTTAAGGCAGCTGGACTTTAAAATCTTAAACAGATTTATCAAACAAAGGATGGATTACTTTACACTGAGCAAATACATTTTATAGTAGAGTGAAAACACAAAGAGTGGGTAGATTAATTAGAATTTCTGGTATTTAAATATGGCAAGTTTTGTTTTGTTTTTTTAAAACAGAATTATCAAATACAAATAGTAAAATTTGAATGAAAGAATGTAAATTTTTAAAAGATATTTTGTGAGTGTTCGTTTTCTTAAGAATCTATTAAATTACACTATTTCCCCCAAAATGAAACAACCTCTCATGTCATCTGATCCTTTATTGACCTTTGCAGAATTTAAACGAAGTAATCGTTGTTGAAATCATTCCACTGACAGATCTGTTGTTTCATTTCAGCCTTTTTTTTTACCTATTTCTTTTTATTATCATAATTCTGTATATACTGCATATATCCCCACGCACCTTTTCTTCCTTTGGCACCTTCTTTGTTTTGACCGTTTGAGCTGATGTAACGAGTACATTTCTCCACTGTGAGATCAATAAAGTCAATCAATCAATCAATCAATCAATTAGTCAATCAATCAATCAATCTATCAACTTCTTCTCTTCAATGGTCTGATGCTATGTTTCAGGTTATGCACAAAGGTTCTTCCCTTTAGCATTACACAACTGAACAGATTATGTTGTATATTTCATTATAACAGCATATTCATGATAAAAAACTTTTCATGACAAATACCGTTTGATCATGCATCTTAAAATGTGAAAACATATCATTTCTAATTCCAGGCTTCATGAAACAGAAATCAAGTCGTTATTTCTGATCTCAAAGACTTATTACGGTACAATTCATTAGGCAAAGAAAAGTAAGCCTGAAAGAGGATTGACTGTCACTCTATAGCCCCTTTTACACTACCATCTGAAACCGATCTGTGCCGAGTTCAGACCGAGTTTGGATCAGCTAACCGTGCCGAGCTTAGTTCCTTACCACCATTTACACATCACGCTAGCACAGTTCCTTGATTCCTAGTGAAGATCTACAGTACTACTGCTAGGTTTGAAGGAGGGAATCAAGCAAATAAAAATGGTGGCAACCAAAACATACAGGAAGTTATGTTTGGTTATAATTGTGAGATTTCCTTGTTCAGGTGAAGAAGGCAGTCTTGACATCATCCCAGGTCGCACCACAATCTTTCGAAGCCATTTTATAAAATGTAGTGTTAAGATAATTTTGATTGTTGTTTACAGTTCTTCCTATTCTTCTGTTAGGGTTCTTTCTTTTTATAAACAGTAAAAAACCTAAGGTATACTAATGCATATTTTATTATATTTATTCACATTAAAATTTTTTACATATTTAGTGTTTTTTATAAATTCAACCCGTTTATATAATTTCTATTTGAGGCACAACTCTGAAAAGAGCTGCATAAGTAAACTATTTTCATGTTACTCATTCTATTTACCAATTCAGAGTGCAGCACAATAACGCCATGATAATAGAGCTGTATCGTTGCCAGATGTTTCTGTTATATCAGTGAAATAAAAGAGAAATTCTATATAAGGGCTTTCTTTGGTTAGAACAAAAAATAGATATGTGAAATAAATAATTTAAAATACTGTTTTAATAACCACAGTTGTGGTATTTAATAAAATATATTTGCCCACAGCATTGCCCATAGAAACCTATCAGCTGCACTACTGTAATGGAGAGAGTGACCCAATTATTTTTAAATAAATTATCCTGAAAAGTGTCTAGAAATTAAAAAAAAAACATAAATATGAACTGTTTGCATATAAGAATATATAATTATTGAGATTTTGCTCAGATTCTGTGACCTGGGCTGGGTAAGTTTAGAAACAAAGCGTATAAATAATACACCCAACACTATTCTTCTTTTTTGTATGTTAATGCCAAATTAATCCCCATTTGATCCTTGAAAAACCTCTTATGTTAGTTTAAGATAAGATTCATTTTTGCTAAATCGTTTTTGAAAATGGGTTTAAACCCTCAACCCTGTGTTTGTAGCTAAGAGCAAAAATGTTAGAATATAATTACCGAAAAACATTGTTTCTAACAGCTTTACAATCCTCCCAGAGTGTTTTCTGTAATGCAGAACAGTTAAACATTAATGTAATTTACTGGTTCTTCTGCTAATTACATTCATTAGAAGAACACACAAAGAAAGCATTTCCATTAAAATTAATTTTGTTATATCATGCAGTTTTTGCTTTCCTAATTCTCTCAAGCACAATATATTTCTATTACTATATCAGTTGTTAATTGCGTTTTATCTTGATTATCGTGTCTTTTCTGTTTTGGTTTTACCCCAATTTCAGCTTCTCTTAAATGCACTTGAACCTCTTTACTCCTCTTCTGTCTTTTGTAGCTTTTGTATCTTATTTTCCATGAGATCTCCACTAACCTCTGTTGGTCTCCTAGAGTCTCTTCTTTGAAGATATTACTATTCCATTTTCAGCTTTATTCAATTTTTTTGAAACACAAATAAAATAATGGAATCCTTTTCATTTCTGTTCCTCTGTACCTTCATTTTTTTCTTTTAGACTTTATAAGTACCTTGTTGTAACTGATACTAAACATTCATATCTGTTTTGTTCTTTCTTCATCTTGCTTTAGAAAGCAGACCTGGCAGTGGCTGGCTTCACTATAACCTCAGAGAGAGAGAAGGTGATTGATTTCTCCAAGCCATTCATGTCCCTGGGAATCAGCATCCTCTACCGAGTGCATCTGGTAAGAATGCTTTTGGATTTTCATTTATTTTGTTAATGTTTTTTTTTTACTTTGTACATTAGTCTGTATCTAAAAGTTTGATCTAGACTGCAGTCTGCTACTGGACTCTAAATAGAAGCACATGGCACTGCTCCAAGCAAACCCACTAAGCATAACCAGAAAAATCCATTAGAATTACTGAGAAATGGAGCTATAAATAAATAGAATATTGTTTATTTCACTATTAAGAAAAAAAAAGAACATTGAGCAACTTAGAAATAGCATGAAAAGTAAATTTAGCATAAGTATTTCATTAACATTCAAATGTTGGCTCTTCTCTCAATAAAGGTATTAAACATGCTCTGAAAAATAAAGCCTCCAAGGGACTCAAAGCACACATACGTTTGCCTATACCTTTGTTAATTCCACATAGACTATTACATTTCTATGGAATATTTTTTCAAACAGACATAATAGAACAGTGCATTTGTTTTAATATTACAAATAAAGAGTAGAAAAACACACTTATAATCTGATTGTTTTACCCCATTACTTTAAAATGCAATTCAGACATGATGGACAAGACTCTGACTGTCTGTTATTTAGTTCAAGTATACAGTAAATATATCTAACCTCTAAAGGCCTTAAAGTTTTAAGGGCTTTGGTGATGAAACAGCAAAGAGAACAGCAACCAAATTAAGGACAAACTTTAAAGCAGGGTGAGATTATTAAGCAAGTTCCCAAGCTTAGATTTTTACTCTTCACAGTCAGTCATCGTAGAATTCTAAGCAACTAATTAGAAATGAACTTGACCTTTTTTCTTGTTTCCTGACGACTTTTCACCTGTTTTTAAGTCATTTTTTCAGCTCTGTAAAAGGTTTGAAGTAGCAGGTTTTTAGTTGAGGATAAGATGCCACAATGTGGGGGAATGGGAATATCCACCTGCATTTGATTGGAGAAAGGAAAGACTGAACAATAACTATAAAATTAGAAAAAATATGAATGTTCCCCTAAACAATTATATTTGTTAAGGAGGACGTTGATCTGGAAAGCTGCTTAAACACCTATGGCAACTCTGGAGATGTATAAAAAGATGGTTTAAATGAGTGACTCTATTGACAGTATTTGTGGAGTCAACAAATCTGGGCTTTGTGGAGGAATAGCAAGAAAAAGCTCCATTTAAGTTGAATGTTTTAAGAGTAATTTGTAAGAGAGATCAAGTTATGTGTCGGGAAATACTGTAAAAGAGAAATATAACCTTTAAAAATTTACACAGGATATGTCCTTTCTTCTGACAGGAAATGTCACGGTTTGCATTTTTTAGTTCTGTTGAAGTTTTCTTTTAAGTTTTCATTGGCTTCATTTCCATTTGGTGTTGTTTTCTGGTTGTATTTGAGTTATTTTTTTGTTTACCCTCTGTTGCCCTCTTGTGTTAGTCTATTTTCCCCTATCTCCCTTCTGGATCCTTCTCTCCACACCTGCTCCCCATCAGTTGATTACCTCATTCTTTGTTCTGTCTGGCATATATATACTCCTCCTCTTCAGTTACTTTTTGCTGCTTTCTTGTCATTCCTTGCTCCTTGTGTGTTTTCCTGGATGTCTCCTGTTTTTTTTTTTGTTTTGTTTTTTTTGTGTAGTTTTGCTTCACTTGCTATCTTTTGGTCATTAAATCTGCAAGAAACCACCTCAGCTTCTGTCTCTGCATTTGGGTCCTCTTCAAACCTCCACTCAACCTGACAGGAACACAATCATAAACCTGTAGCCAGAGTTACGGTTTCAATGTTGTTAAAACATACACTGCAAAAAACAATATAGAAATAAGTAAAAAAGCATCTTAAATTAAGTGCATTTACCCTTAATTTAAGGGTATGATTTGCCAAAGGTATGAGTATTTTTACTATTAAAACAATATAATTAGATAATATGCACTTGAAATAAGACAATGCAATTGTTTTTTTCTTATTTCAAATGTAAATTGTCTTGTTCCACTGGCTAAGTTTCTCACTTTCCTCCTCAGTTCAAGAAAAAATATAACTTATTTTAAATTAAGAAATTTAAAAAAGCGAAACAAAAAAATGTTCTTGACCCAAATCCTTATTTCATTATCTATTAAAAAAAAAAAAAAAAAAAACACGGCCCACCATTTACTGATCTTTTTTGAAAACAGAGGTCTTATTATAATTTGGTAGGGAAATATGAAGAAAAACGTAGACTCTGCTATAGATGTATAAAGATGCTCTTAGTTCTACTCAGGTTTACAATCTACAAAACTATGTTAAGCTTTGGAATATAGGGTGTTTTACTGTTCCTTTGAGAGTTGGTGCTAAACTTTTACAGACTGGAGAATGGGGTGTCTGCACCCGATCCAGATTTATGCCTGCAACCTCTCTGTGTGTTTGACTTGATGACTTCAGAGGTAAAAAGATGTATCAGAAGCTACCTTCTCAGTACAAGCTCTGCTGCTGTATTTGCTGACAGGTACTCGACCGAGGTCATACAGTCATTCTGAGTCTCCAACAAAGGAACAGAAAATATTTCAATAAACACTGAAAAAGAAGAGGTTGTGGTGTATGTTGGGGGGGAGATGCGGTAGATTAGATAAAAGCACACCGGTAAACACAAATAGAGGGCATGGTTTTCTTTTTCCGTTCCCTTTTTTTTTAGTTTATTATAATAACGGGGAGGTGTGAGCAGAGCTGCTACTTTAGAATAGGATTTTTAGCTTCTGATGGAGGATATATAACGCTGAATGCTTACTGACTGGAATACGCTTCAATTTTTCCAGTTTCTGAGAAACCTACGGATTCAAGATGTGAGATATGTGACGATTGTGAAGTCTTTAAATCCTGCATGATTATACTTTGGGGAAAAAGAAGCCCCGTGCCACTTCTTATGGATTTTTTTGTAATGTTTTTTAAATGTTTTCTGAAGATAGATAAAACCTTTTAGTGAACGCTCAATCTTTCATCTTTATCCACAGTGTTGATTTCATGGTTTTGGCTTTCAGGACTATAGAGTAGGGATGGGCGATATGAACTAAAAAATTTATCACGATAATTTCTAGGTTTTACCACGATAACGATAAGTGACGATAAAAAACACATCAAAAACACAATATCAGCCTAATGTATCAAACCAATCAAACAAGCCTGAAATATGAGAACAAATTTCACATTTATTTAAATGCTACACAGCAAATATAACTTGGCTTATAAAAGTTGCAAAGTACTGCAACTGTAAATTCAACCTGATAAATTGAGAAACAGAACTTAAAAGTATTTCACTGAAAATTAAAACTAATCAGTAATCACCTCCTAATATAAATGGATGCTGGAACATGCCATATATTGGATAAATAAATACCAGTGCAAGTTCTAACATACATTACACTCACTTCACTAAAAATAAAATTCAAATGTTATATCAACCTGTAACAACCTTTTTTTGCTGTTGGGCTACAAAAATGTGCAAATGGCATGAAAAATAAAGGGAAAAAAACTGAAAAATCTAAATACTAAAATAGAAATAAATAATTTCAATAAATTCCAACAAACATGTAAAACCTGAAATACTTCTTTGTGCAAGAATGTACAAATAAGACTAGCAGGATCGTCAGCATGCTAAACGATGAAATAAAAATAAATAATTTCAATAAATTTAAAAAGAATATAAAAACTGAAATACCTCTCAATCTGTGATTGAAGCGGCAACATATCTTAAGCCAGGCAAAATGCAACGGCCTCTGTTAACTCTTTCCATCGCTAGCTTTGGCTGTCATATGGTGTGGAGTGAGCAAACGCGTCGGCAAGTTTTGTTTGAGTGGCAGTCGGTTTCTTAACAGAGGTTTTCGAAGTCGAGGCTTCTGCTGCATCGCAGCGCATCTTCTGACTAGCATCATATTCCGGTTTGTGTTTGTGTTTTAGGTGGTGAAATAAATTGGTAGTGTTGCTGTCCTTTGTCGTCACAGGTTGTCTGCAAACTTTGCATATTACAACTTTCTGCTCCGTATCAGACTTTTTAAATCCAAACCAGTTCCAGATAATGGAGCTGGAGCCTCTTTTAGGAACCAGGTCTTGGGGCACGTCTCCTCCACCTTCCGCCATGCTTGTTGTTTGCGCATGGGTCGCACGTGAGTTGGATTGCAGGTCTGTCACGCGCAGTATACGTCACCGGCGGGAGTTTATCGTTTTTATCGCAAAATGACAAATTGTTACCATGAGGAATTTCTTTGACGATATATCGCACACGATAACATATCGCCCATCCCTACTATAGAGAATGTATAAATGTAATATAATGTAATAATAATACCTTATTGATATTAAGTGCAGCACTATCAAAGGTCATCTTACTAAAAAAATATTTTTTTGCATTTGATTTTATCTACAATTTAAAAGAATTCAGAGAACTGACTCAGAATTTTCGATAATTGCTATATCTAAAGTGGAACTAATTCTCTTCGTTAAGAATTAATGTCTTAAAAAGATTAAATAAAAATGTCCCCTGTTGCCTCTGCACTGCCAAACAGCTGGCTTAAATAAAGCTACAATTAGCAAAAGTAGAAAATATGTCTACAAACATTTTTTCACATCAAAATCAAATGTAAAAAAAAAAAGTGTATAAACCTTAGACTACTAATGATGCAGTCATGATTGTAATTATATAAAAACAATTGGATCACGTTATCTTCTTTGAAATGTTGACAATATCATAATACTATGAAATTATAGTTTTTTTAAATTATAAGTTTTAATTTTGTCAGAGATCCATACCGGCCCGCATGTTTTCTATTTATCAAATCTTATCAACTAGAATCCTGCAGATTAGTGGGTATTTACCAAAACAATGAGGTGGTTTCTCAGGGCAAGTGATGCAAAATGCAGCATCAGCTCTCCAACAAATGCACCAAGGGAATACATCACACCACTACTGGTTGAGTCGGGCTTGCTTTCCTTTTGATTAAACATTTCATTGATTGCTTTTAAATCACTACATGCTCTTTCTCCCCTTTACTTTGCATT